AAATCCAATCCATTATTATTATTATGATCACACTGCTCTCCTGGGGGAGGGTGAGACATTATGTGGTCCTTGATCACCTCCAGCACTGCTAGTCGACAGTGATCCATGTCTTCTGTCATCTTCTTGTCCATGATCATCATCTGTTCTCTTAGATAGTCCATCATCATCATGTGCACTTCTGGAAGATGGTGGAACATCATGTGGCCCGGGATCATCTACTGCACTGCTAGGTCTCAGTGGAACATGCTCACTCTCTGGCGTGTTGTCATTATCTGGTGTGTTTTCTGGTCTCCTAAGAAAACAGTAGGACATGCTCCCTGTCATTATTTGTGGTTAAAAAACCAACAAACAACCAAACAAAACCCAAAGATGCACATGAGAAAGTACATGTGAGAAACTGTTCTAACATCAGAGGAAACACTGTCAGTACATCTCAACATTTTCAAGTGTTGAGATGCTGACTGCTCGTGTCATTTTCAAGTGGACTTTTAGTGCTTTTAACAGAGTGTGCATATGGGAATTTCCGCTTATTTTGTTGATCTACTGTTGAACTTTGTTAGATATTATCTTTACACCTTGTTGATCGTATTCTTTTTCATTTTTGCCTTCATCAACAGCTTCCCAAGGAAATCTTGAAGATTTACTGGCCAAACAAGATCCACAGTCATAACCTGTTGGAAAAACGCAAGGCGAGTACATTCGGAGGAAAATATATAAAGAAGATAATGGAAATGGACAGGATATGCACTGAGGAAACCAGGCAACAACCTCACCAGACAAGCTCTGAAACTCAGAGGGGAAGAGACAAAGAAGAAGGCCAAGAATATATGGTAAAGAGATCTCAAAAAGAATACATTTGCCATCAGATTGAGAAAATGGCTCAAGATTGAGCATTTCTGAGGATCCTCATCAAAGGTCCATACTCCAGAGAAGGGTTAAGTAGGTAATATATGTGCTTTCTTTTTTTTTTTACAGCATATGTACGACCTGTTTAACTTGCACTGAGAACTCATT